AGCTGCAGAATGCAGAGACTGTGATCTATCATCACATAATGCACTGACAGATCTTTGTCTATGCAGATTGTTATGAGTCTTCAGTACAACAAACAACATAGGCCGTGATCTGTCATCGCATGATGCACTGTCAGATCTTGGTCTATGCAGATTGTTATGAGTCTTCAGTACAACAAACAACATAGGCCATGATCTGTCATCGCATGATGCACTGACAGATCTTGGTTTATGCAGATTGTTATGAGTCTTCAGTACAACAAACAACATAGGCCATGATCTGTCGTCGCATAATGCACTGACAGATCTTGGTCTATGCAGATTGTTATGAGTCTTCAGTACAACAAACAACATAGGCCATGATCTGTCATCACATAATGCACTGACAGATCTTGGTCTATGCAGATTATTATAAGTATTCAGTACAACAAACAACATAGGCCATGATCTGCTGGTGTCTAATGCAACAGCAGATCAGGGTCTCTATTGTTGCAGTTGGCCTCAACTTAAAACCAAATATTTATGATTTTTGGTTCTGAAAAATGTAGCAAGTAAACTAAGTTTTCCAACATTGATTATAATCTGATCTTTTCATGTTTTTGTTTTCCTAACATTATCCATTTTGTATTTACATTTGTCAAGGATGTAATAATTGAAGTAGTGCAGTATAAACCAGCTTGTTTTTCAACCATATACTTAAATTTCTATTCAGTTTTATAATGATTTGTTACATGGATGTTTTTGTCCATATTACCATTGTAATTCGTAATTATCTTCATACCATCTAATTGTAAATGTTATATAAAGGTGACATTTATAGAATGATTTTTTTTTGTTTTGTTATTCATTTCAAGATACAGGGCAATAAAAAGGACTTTTTGATTATTTATCCATATTTCTCTGATGACAAACCCATACCTAATGATAAGTCCATGCTTGACAATAAATCCATGCTTAAAGATAAGTGCATACCTGATGATAAGCAAATGGTTAATGATAAGCCCATGCTTGATAATAAGCCTGTATTTAATGATAAGCCCATGCTTGATAATAAGCCTGTATTCAATGATAAGCCCATGCTTGATAAGCCTATTGCTTGATAATAATCCCATGTTCAATGATAAGCCCATGCCTAATGATAAAACCCAAAATTTGATGATAAGTCCATTGCTTGATGATAAGCCGATGATTAATGATAAGCCCATGCTTTTTGATAAACCCAATTCTTAATGATAAACCCAATTCTTAATGATAAACCCAATGCTTGATGAAAAAACCCAATGCTTGATGATAAACCCAATTCTTAATGATAAACCCAATTCTTAATAATAAACCCAATTCTTAATTATAAACCCAATGCTTGATGATAAACCCAATGCTTGATGATAAACCCAATGCTTGATGATAAGCCCATTGCTTGATGATAAACACAATGCTTGATGATAAGCCCATTGCTTGATGATAAACCCAATTCTTAATGATAAACCCAATGCTTAATGATAAACCCAATGCTTGATGATAAACCCAATGCTTGATCATAAACCCAATGCTTGATGATAAACCCATTGTTTGATGATAAACCCAATGCTTGATGATAAGCCCATTACTTGATGATAAACCCAATGCTTGATGATAAGCCCATTGCTTGATGATAAACCCAATGCTTGATGATAAACCCAATTCTTAATGATAAACCCATTGCTTGATGATAAACCCAATGCTTGATGATAAACCCAATTCTTAATGATAAACCCAATGCTTGATGATAAACCCAATTCTTAATGATAAACCCAATGCTTGATGATAAACCCAATGCTTGATGATTAACTCAATGCTTGATGATAAACCCAATGCTTGATGATAAACCCATTGTTTGATGATAAACCCAATGCTTGATGATAAGCCCATTACTTGATGATAAGCCCATTACTTGATGATAAACCCAATGCTTGATGATAAGCCCATTGCTTGATGATAAACCCAATGCTTGATGATAAACCCAATTCTTAATGATAAACCCAATGCTTGATGATAAACCCAATTCTTAATGATAAACCCAATGCTTGATGATAAACCCAATGCTTGATGATAAACCCAATGCTTGATGATAAACCCAATGCTTGATGATAAGCCCATTGCTTGATGATAAACCCAATGCTTGATGATAAACCCAATTCTTAATGATAAACCCAATGCTTGATGATAAACCCAATGCTTGATGATTAACCCAATGCTTGATGATAAACCCAATGCTTGATGATAAACCCAATGCTTGATGATAAGCCCATTGCTTGATGATAAACGCAATGCTTGATGATAAACCCAATTCTTAATGATAAACCCAATGCTTGATGATAAACCCAATGCTTGATGATAAACCCAATGCTTAATGATAAATCCAATTCTTAATGATAAATCCAATGCCTGATGATAAACCCAATGCTTGATGATAAACCCAATTCTTAATGATAAACCCAATGCTTGATGATTAACCCAATGCTTGATGATAAGCCCATTGCTTGATGATAAGCCCATTGCTTGATGATAAACCCAATGCTTAATGATAAACCCAATTCTTAATGATAAACCCAATGCTTGATGATAAACCCAATGCTTGATGATTAACCCAATGCTTGATGATAAGCCCATTGCTTGATGATAAACCCAATGCTTAATGATAAGACCATGCTTTTTGATAAACCCAATGCTTGATGATAAGCCAATGCATGGTGATAAGCCCATGCTTTTTGATACACCCAATGCTTGGTGATAAGCCTATGGTTGATGATGAAACCATTGCATGATGATAAGCCCATGCTTTTTGATAAACCCAATGCTTAATGATAAGACCATGCTTTTTGATAAACCCAATGCTTGATGATAAGCCAATGCATGGTGATAAGCCCATGCTTTTTGATACACCCAATGCTTGATGATAAGCCCATGCTTTTTGATAAACCCATTGCTTGATAAGTCAATGCATGGTGATAAGCCTATGGTTGATGATAAACCCATTGCTTGATGATAAGCCAATGCATGGTGATAAGCCTATGGTTGATGATGAAACCATTGCATGATGATAAGCCCATGCTTTTTGATAAACCCAATGCTTGATGATAAGTCAATGCATAGTGATAAGCCCATGCTTTTTGATACACCCAATGCTTAATGATAAGCCCATGCTTTTTGATAAACCCATTGCTTGATGATAAGCCCATGCATGGTGATAAGCCTATGGTTGATGATGAAACCATTGCATGGTGATAAGCCCATGTTAAATGATAAACCAATTGCTTGATGATAAGCCCATCTTTGATGATAAGTCTAAGTTTAATGGTAAACACACCCTACCCCCAACTGTACTAAATATTTCAAATATTTACTGAGGCTGTCTTTGTTAATAAATCAAGCTACTCCTATTGATATGCAAGCCAGAGGTCAATCATATTATGACGTCCACCCATTCTTTACCGATTTTGTTTCTGCTCAAGTTGTCCATCATCAGCAGTTACCAAACTTTGTTGATTGATTACACTTTGGTAAAGAAAACTATTGATTTTAGACGGTCTTCACGCGGTCAAGATTACTGTGACTGAAAATGAAAATTATGTTTTCTGCACAATAACTCTAGTTTTCTAGACACTTGGATAAGGAAGAACACCATAGACTTTTGATGTGAAAGTTCAAGGTTGGTATGCTTGAAAGACATTAATGGTTTTGTCACAGTAGCTCTTGTTCTCCACCATCTACAGTTACCAAATATTGTAAATTGGTATAGAAAAATCTATTGATTTTGAGGTAAAAGGTCACTGTGAATGAAAGAATAAAAATTGTTATGTCATATACCTTCACCAAAGCTGACAAATCTCTTGCACATTGGGGAAGAAAAAAATCTATTGATCTAGGACTCAAAATGCTAAAGGTAAAGGTCAGTGAATTAGAGATGATAATTGGCTTTTGTATAATACCCTTATCTTTAGACAATTTTGCCTTGATCAAAGTTTGTAAACAGCTTACAGTTATGAAATCCCATTTATTTTCATTTAAAATGACAAAGGTCATGGTTATCAGTACTCAATAAAAAATGTGTTTTGAGGAAAAACTTTGTTTTAGAGTATGTTTATGACCAAAGTTTGTGGATGTCTTGCACTTACAGTAATAAAGAAACCTTGAGAATCAGGGTTGTAAAAGTTAGAGCTAATGTCATAGTAAGTCTAATGAGAAAATAGCAGTTTCTCTACATTAAGTTTAGTGTATTAGGTGCCTGCATAGAGGACTATTAAACATGGGACAGGCATCAAACTTCACACACAAACACACACACACATTCATCCAAAAAGGTCTAGTTGATCATAAATCAGTGCTGCTTGGACATCCAATATGGCCACCACAGCAGCCATTTTGAAAATCATGTTATTGTTACTCCTTGTAAATGGATGGTCATATCACTGAGAAGCTTTAATCAGAAGATATCTTTTGATGCCTAGTTGGTCCTAAATGGTGGTGATCTGACATCTGAAAACAGCAATCTTGAAAGTCATGTTAATGGAAATCTGATTACCTGAGTAGATAATAATATAAATGTGGAGTATTCACAAATGATTTCTTATCTGTCTAGCTGGTCTTCAATGAAAATGGTCCCAATCTAACATCTAATATGGTCATCATAGCAGCAATATTTGTATTGCTTCTGAATGGAAAGTAATATTGAGACCTGGTTTTAACCATAAGACTTCTTATGATGTTGAGTTGGTCCCGCATGAAAAAGGGTGCTGATCTGACGTCTAATTCTGCTGCCACAACAGCAACCTTGACAGTCATGTTATTGGAAATCTGATGGAAGTCCTGAGTTGACAGTCATATCAACATGGAATTTTCACAAAATATGGTCTTCGTTGAAAATGGTACCAATCTTTAAAAACCTCCTCCTGAATGAATGGTCATATCGATATAGGACTTTTACTTCAAGACTTCATATCATATATAGTTCTAAATGAAAATGGAACCATTCTGGTGGCCTAGTGGTTAGCGCATCCACCTCAGATATGGATGGTCGTGGGTTCGATCCCCGTTCGAGTCATACCAAAGACTTAAAAAAATGGTATTAACAGCTGCCTCCCTTGATGCTCAGCATTAAGAGTTTAGTGTTAGGACTGGTCTGCCTGGTGTCAGGATAATGTGACTAGGTGGGACATCATGCTACTTGTCTCTGGCATAATGCCCCAGTGCTAGTCATCACTATAAACTGCTACACTTCAGACATCATAGCAATATGATTGAAATATTTTTAAAGCTACATTAAAAATCATAGTCACATCACATCATTAAATGAAAATTGTGCCAATATGATGTCCAATATGGCCACTTTGGCAGTGATATTAAACATGTTACTGCCTGAATGGAAATTTGATGTCGTATCAACTTGAGGTCATAAACAAATTTCTCCTAAATAACAATGGTGTTATCCAGGCATAAAATATGGTCACTATGGTGGCCATCTTGAAAATCTTATTACTACTCCACCTGAGTGGATGGTCACATGGGGTTTCCACTGAAAGACTTCATCTAATGTCTAGTTGGTCCTAAATCAACATGGTACATATGCTTAATCCTATATGATCACCCAAGTAACTACCCTGAAAATTGCATTATTGTTGCCTGAACAGAAAGTCATATCAGCATTGGGTTTTCACTGGAAGACTTCATCTAATGTCTAGTTGGTCCTAAATCAACATGGTACATATGCTAAATCTTATATGATTACTAAAGTAATTACCCTGAAAATTGCATTATTGTTGCTCTGTCTGAACAGAATGTCCTATCAAAATTAGCTTTTCACTTTTCTTATGTCTCGATGGTTCTAAATGAAAATCACACTAAAAAGCAATGTCCAATATAGCCACCAAATGTTATTGCTATTCCCCCTGGATGGAAAGTCATATCAGGTCCAAAATGAAAATGGACATCCAATATGGCTGTCATATCAGACATCTTGAAAATCATGTCTTTGTTACTCTTGGATGGATGGGATGGTCATATCAATGAACCACACAGAAAAGTGTATTCACAATGAACATATTATACATTCACAATGAACATATAATACATTATGCAAATAACATAATACCATGATTACTCACTTATTACTCAAGTAAAACTGAAACTGCATAGACCCAGATCTGCCATAACATGATGTGCCAGCAGATCTTGGTCTATGCAGTGTGTAAGGAGTAATTAGTAGAACAAATAGTATCAATCCTATTCTGCTGGTGCATTATGCTACAGCAAATCAGAGCCCCTGTTACTTGCAGTTCGATTTGACTTGTGAGCAATTATATATGATACTTAAGAATCTAAATATTACACATTGGAAAATATATTCAGACAACTGAATATGTTCTTTAATTGTTCAATGGCTTACATTTTATGTCCTGGCCTTGGAGGATTAGCTTGTACAAGAAAACGTTTAGTAAAAGTCTCCATACATTATTTTTAACTTGGCAATCTGCCTTGAATTATGAATGAAATTTTTACACATTGTTATACATGTGCTTTCAGAATAAAACAAGCCTGCCACTGAATTTAAAAATTCATATATAAAGCTCATAAACCCAAATGACTTGTATAAAGCTATAATATAAATCAATATTTGATACAGATATCTGTAACAGCATATGTATGCATGTATATATATATATATATATATATATATATATATATATATATATATATATATATATATATATATATATACAAACATACATACATACATACATACATACATACATACATACATACATACATACATACATACATACATACATACATACATACATACATACATACATACATACATACATACATACATACATACATACATACATACATACATACATACATACATACATACATACATACATACATACATACATACATACATACATACATACATACATACATACATACATACATACATACATACATACATACATACATACATACATACATACATACATACATACATACATACATACATACATACATACATACATACATACATACATACATACATACATTACCACTATTGCTAATATTATTACCACCAGTACCAAATAATCAACAAGAGTATCAACAATAATTACTACTTCGCTTTAGTTTCCTTCTACTGCTGCTGCTACTACCACCATTACTACTACCAATCATTAACATAAATAGACCACTACCTGCTGGTGGCAATGTGTAATAAGCAACACAGCCCACAGAAAAAATGTCCAATGCCTGAATCCCAACAGTATTTCAGGAGCCACAAACATAATTCTCATGTGGGTGGGTGGACTTTTCATAATGAGGGTCTTATTCAATGGCCATATCACTGTTTCAAATCCTCTCTGTAAAATTATGGTAGAGATTTATAAATGAGCAAGAATATATACATAATTGTGTGCTATATATCAATAATTATGACATTTTCTACATCCCGAGTTTTTTCTTTGTTAATGATACTACTGTAACTTTCACGAAAAATCTTTGAATAAATTATTTAAAGTAAGCCTTGTCCACATCACAGATGGAGAGAAGCAAATGCACATCCCTCATTTTAAGAAATTAGTATAAGATGATCCAGTTAAATTTATTTCTAAGATGAATGATGGATGAGGTAAGATAAACAAAAATCGGAACATCAATCCCAATGTTTCTTAAGATACTAAATAAATTTACCCCATCCTCTATTCTGATGACTCCATCATCCTCACCACCTGTTCAGTACCACCAGTTTGAGCATGAATAAAAATATTTTCAACCTATTTATACTGTTTTAAATCTATATTTAAGAACTGATGAAGATGCAATTGGGACGGTGATTTGCATGAAGATGCAAATGGCATGGAAAGGCCATTTTACATAAAACGTGTTTCCTTTGAAAAGAATAGAGAATTGTATTGAAATTTCTGTAGTTTCCTACATACACAACATATACACACACATTGAAATTCATTTACCAGCATGGGTATTCCGAAATTATTTATGACTATCTTTGTAGGCCTAATGACCCCTTGAATCACCCTGAGCTTGGAGGTATGCAAGAGCAGAGAGCAAACTTATTGCCATAAACTTGGCTTCATATTCACTAAATATCAACCTGAAAAAAAATAGATTTTTGTTAACAAATTGAAACTGCAAATTTAGCTTTTATTGAAACTATATAGGCTTGTTCTATTCTTTCTCATTTTTCAATAATTTGTGTCTATTTAATACCAAGTTCACCAGTTAGAAAAAGAGACACATGGTCATTTAAATATTGACTTAAAAGTTAGGTCAAGGTCAAAAGACCCTGGAAATACCCCTTTTCATGAATGAACCTGCTGGAAGTGAACTCGCAACTGAGACAGAAATGGTGAAAATCAACCACATCTATTGCAAAATAATTTCCCGAGATATACAAATGTGATGCAATGGAGATGTAATATTTGCAATCTTGTTACATTTTTTGTGTTTATTTTTTTTTGTATTTGTATTTGTATTTAACAATGAATAGTTTTCAATTGTGAAAAAATGAAACTTGAAAAAAAAACATAAAAAGCTTCAAAAAACAAAGCATGTGTAAGCAAATAATTGTTAGTGGGAGAAACGCATTGATGCATTACAAGAACACTTGTAATGAACTTTGTGGGGTATAAAAACTAGATATGAACACTTTAAAAAAAGACAAAATACAAAGCATGTATGTGCAAGCAGCTGTGGCAAATAAATAAAACAAGTTTTTATCTATATATATATATATATATATATATATATATATATATATATATATATATATATATATATATATATATATATTATGAATAAATAGAGCTAAACAGTTTATATATATATATATATATATATATATATATATATATATATATATATATATATATATATATATATATATATATATATATAGTCATACCTCTATAAGTCTTACTTGCAAAATCTACATACTACACCTCAGCTTATTCATCTTTAGCTGAAAATTCCTTGCAACCTGAATAAAAAGTGTTCTAGTATTTTCAATTTTAATCTAATTATTTCAAGATATTTGTATAAAATATAATTCTCATTCAAGTTTAAAACTGCAGATTGATATATTAATGAATATCAAAATTTCACAGTTGAGAATAATAACTGAAAACAAGTTAAATATGTTTTCAAAATCTAGTTTAAATTTTTTTTATATGGTTGATTCCATTTTTTATTACTTTTTTGTGAAAAATTAGCTCACAGGTATCTAATACATTACAACATTATTCAATAAAACAAAAACAATTTAAAAGTATACAATTACTTAACTTAGCGCGATATGGCAGCTTGAGTCTTGCAAGATAATTCAAGTATAATTTCTTGGGAATTCTCTTGTAGACTGTGGGGATTATAATGTTTTCATGGTGACAATCTGAACCTCATCATATTACATAATGCTATCTGGAGACTTGTCAACATGTCAATAGGATTTGCAATTAGATAATATTTACACAAGCAGAAATAATGTTGATCATCTTTTTCCCAGAATAATCCATAATATTTTTATATGTAACTGTAAAAGCCTAAATTCTTGTTTTTGTTTTTTATTTTGTTTGTTTGTTTATTTGTTTTGTTTTGTTTTGTTGTTTTCGTTTTGAGTTGTTTTTTTTAAAGTTTTGTTTTTGTTTTTTGAGAGGGTTTTTTCTTGTTTGTTGTTGATTCTGAGAGGTAGTGTAATGAAAACTGCATTTTAGCAATGGCTGTAAATAAACCTACGCATTCATTTTAAAAAATGGCATAATTGTTATTAAAATTTAATAATGCTGATAGAATAGTATACTAATATATACATTTCAATCATGGAACGGTTTACCAGATGAACTGTGCAAGTCTTGTTCCGCACCATGAAAGGAATCCATTGCCTAATTTACTGTAGCACTTCCGGGACGCCATATTTATTGTTTCTAGAAACCGTACGCTGTAGTTGTAGTCATGAAGTTAAAGCGTTTTCTCCTCCGTTACTACCCACCAGGTTTGTTATATGAGTAAACATAGGAAATTACTTGTATAGTATATTTC